ATAGGAGAGGCTGGGGGGAATTATTTTGGTGCCGTACGTGCATGGAACTGTAGTGCATGTTTGTCCAATGCAAGAGGGAAATTCGCTGACTTTTCCACAGCCTATATATTTAGTAGCCACTGGTCAGGATTCATGGTCAAACTTCCTGGGGGCCGCATGCCCCCGGTGGGTGGAGCCATGGGCAAAAGTGGGGAGAGCAGCAGGTGCAGCTCTTTCATTTGTGCACTAGGCTGCAGTCCAGCCCCACACAATCTTTGCACGTCTCTCCATCCTGGCAAGCAAGAGGCATTATTTTGCAGTTCTCTGATACATTCCAGCCACACAAAAGCAGTTGAGGAAGGTGTGTGCCCTGGGCAGAGAGAGAGACCTGGAGGGTCCCATTTGAACGCTGCCTGACACAGAGAAATAAAACCCCCCAGAAGTCAAAAGCATGGCTGAAATCAGTTTCCAGTTCCAAACTCTTGGTTCAGTATGTAGATGCTGAGGATATATGCAATGTTTAGAGATACCGTCTGTTAAGTGGTTTATAAAATAACTGAATAGAAAATACGTAAGCATTTGATGGTCTCTTCACCCTAAAACAAACTTTTGGAGCCCCCCTCCTCCAGTTTCTATCTCAGAGCTATCAGGAGTCTTGCCTATTCAGAAATCCACACATTTTGGTATTGTGTTTTATTGCTCCTGCCCTGGGAAAGGAGATGCGTGTGCAAAATGCGCCTGGCACCTGGCTAATTTCTAACACCTTTTCCACGTTTCCCCACTTTGCCCCAAATTTTGGTGAGGCTCCTTTGGAAGGGGTATGTTGTCTGTGCATGGACATTCAGTATTAGCCGTTGGCAGAATTCATCTTGTGGTTGCCACTGGTGGCTGGGCAGCTGCGTTTGTGGACTCCTGTTCCTATTAGCTGCTCTAGAACAAATACCTGGTCTCAAAGGTTGCTTTGAGAACATAGCAAAAGATGAGCCCTGTCTGCTCCAGCACCTGGTTCTCACATGGAGAGCCTGCAAGCAGAACCGGACTGTAGCTGGACACGTGATTCCCAGGGACTGGTCTGGCATTCAGAGGAAGGCAGACTCTCGGGAACGGTGTCGCCAGACCTTCTGTTTTTAATGTAATACTTGGTGGAATGGAGACAGTCAAATTGCAGTTCTGTGCGCACATAAATTACTGAAAGTATTTTATCTCCTTCTTCAACAGACAGGACTCCCAGAGCAGCTTACAGATAAAAAAAACCAACCCAAAAATGGTCCCTGCTCTCAGGCTTATAAAATAAAATATGTTACACAAAAGGGAAAAAAGGGATGAAGAGGAAAGAGGAAAGCAAATAAACTCAGGTGCCAGTTCTTCACATTAAGAGAGTTGTCGTAATTCAGGGAAAGGACTGGTCTCTCTTAGATGACCCTGCACTTTTTGAGCACTTCCTGTGGAAGGCTTAGGAAGAAGTCAGTGGAGTTTTCTCAGAAGTAAACTTTCCATCATACAGCTCTCACTCATAATGTTTCCTCAGGCTCATTGTGCATAATTAAAGAATAAGTTGACATCTTGGAAATAGCTTTCTCTCCCTCTCTCTCCCTCCCTCCCTCCCTCTCCCCCTCCCCTTTCTTTCCCCCCACCTCTCAGCCCATATATTTTATCTGATTAACCTTTTTGGGGTGGGGAATGAAGACTTTATGAGTTTAGCACATCAGTTCTAGGAAGACCACAGCAATTAATCTTTCCTTGACTGCTGCTTGATGAAGCAATTATGTTCGGTGATCAGCATTTGTTGAAAGCATTATTTGCCTCATGACTTTTTCCATGCTGCTTCAGGTCGTGGCGGATGTTCTCCTGGAGAAACCTAGCTTGGTTGTCCTGGGGGATTTTAACATCCATGCCGACACGACCTTACAAGGGGCCGCTCGGGACTTTGTGGAAAGCATGGCCTCCATGGGGCTGTCCCTGAATAAGTTTGGCCCAACTCATAGCCGCGGACATGCCTTAGACTTGGTGTTTACCTCTACGGATGTTGGTGATCTGACACTAACTAAAAGCGAAACAAAAGAAGTGCCATGGTCAGATCACTTCCTGGTACAACTGGACTTCTCCGCGACCCTTCCCCTCTGCAGGGAGGTGGGACCGATTCAGATGGTCCGCCCCCGCCACTTAATGGATCCAATTGGCTTCCAGAGAGTGGTAGGGGATGTTTTATCCCAAGTTGATGGCCTTTCAGCTGATTCCCTGGTGGCCTGCTGGAATGCGGAGTTAACCAGGGCTATTGACTGTCTGGCTCCGAAGCGCCCTCTCCGATTGCATGGAGCCCGGACAGCCCCATGGTTTTCCCCGGAGCTGAGGGTGATGAAACAATCGTTGCTGTTTCCTAGTTCTGCTGGATCTCTCAGCGGCCTTTGACACCATCGACCATAACATCCTTCTGGACCGTCTAGAGGGGCTGGGAGCTGGGGGCACTGTTATACGGTGGTTCCGCTCCTTCCTCCTGGGCCGTGTCCAGAAAGTGGTGGTGGGGGATGAGTGTTCAGACCCCTGGGCTCTCACTTGTGGGGTGCCTCAGGGTTCTGTCCTCTCCCCCATGCTTTTTAATATCTATATGAAGCCGCTGGGAGAGATCATCAGGGGGTTTGGGCTGGGTGTTCATCAGTATGCAGATGACACCCAGCTCTACCTCTCCTTTAAAACAGAACCAGTGAGGGCGGTGAAGGTCCTGTGTGAGTGTCTGGAGGCTGTTGGAGGATGGATGGCGGCTAACAGATTGAGGTTGAATCCTGACAAGACAGAAGTACTGTTTTTGGGGGACAGGGGGGGCAGGTGTGGGGGATTCCCTGGTCCTGAATGGGGTAACTGTGCCCCTGAAGGACCAGGTGCGCAGCCTGGGAGTCATTTTGGAACGCACTCCCAGCAGATGTCAAAGCAATAAACAACTATTTTACTTTTAAAAGTCATCTGAAGGCAGCCCTCTTTAGGGAAGTTTTTAATGTTTGATGCTGTACTGTTTTTAATATTCAGTTGGAAGCCGCCCAGAGTGGCTGGGGAAACCCAGCCAGATGGGCAGGGTATAAATAAATTATTATTATTATTATTATTATTATTATTATTATTATTATTATTATTCTTTGTGCGCCTGCACATTGTAAGGGATTGTGTCTTTTGGAGAAGCTTGCCTTCCACTCAACTCCAGGGTTCCCAGGACGCTGCTCCAAAGCCAGTGTCATAACAATTGCCACCTTTTGTGGCTTAAGCAAAAAAGAAAAAGAAACGAAAAGTACATTGAATCATTTCCTGCTAAGAGATAAAACGGAGCTTTGCCTTGGTGCAAGTAGCAGCATTCTCTAATAGGTCTCATTTATTCTTATATTCCTCTTGGGCAATCTATATAAAAAGGATGACAACATTGCTACATATATAACAGAGATGTATGAAACAAAGCTCTCACATGGAAACTCTGAGCACGGATTCATAGAATATTCATAGCAGAGATGCACTGCCCTGGAACACATGCATTCTGAAGGACCTCTATAGACTATTTTAAAAGAAGAGTGATACTTGTATAAACGCAACACTTTTTTTCGCTACTGCTTCCATAACTTGTTTCTTGGAGAAAAAGGCTGCATGGATGTTTCCTTCCTCTTCTGGTTCTCCCACTGCAGGCAGCATTATTCGCTGTGCTCTTACCTAAATACATGATGAAAATCGAAACTTAACTCATATAATTACATTTTTATATGTTTGGGACCAGTTTACTCAAAGGACTGCACCCATGTTTCCAGCCCATACTCTGAGAGCTAGCTTAGACCTTGGCATTGGGTGTTTATCGCTCCCAGTCCCCAGCCGGGGATCTGGGGCACATCAGGGTTAACAGATCTGTCTGGGGATTTAAGCAGAGAGCCCACCCCCATTTCGCCACAACACAGGGGAGTCCACTGACAACCTTTCAGCATATGGCCAGTAACTCCCATCAACACAGCCCCTTTAACAGGGAACCGTGGGGTCACTGCTGTGTGTGGGGGGGAAGGCATGTGTCACCGCTTCACACCCCCCCCCCGCACTTAGGGAAGATAGACTAAAGGATTCCACCCAAGGCCTAAAACCACCAAATTTGTGACATTTTGCTACGGGGAAGGAGAAACCTGCCAATGCGGGGGAAATCCCTTCCCAGTCCTTTAACAGCAACCATCGAACAACCATAGCAGCGCCCGCATACCTGTAAAGAGGTTAACCTGAAATAAAGAGCATAAACAAAGGGAGGGTAGGGTGGGTGAAGCTCTGGAGCTGACTGGGGGCTCCCAAGTAGGCTCCACCCCCTTCATATGCAAAGGAGTGACGGCTGCCCCTTCTTGGTCCGCTTTCCTGGCTCCGCCTCCGCCTGTCACAATGGGTTCATTCTGAACTGAGGTTTGGCGGGAACCTCAAGGGCTGTGACGTGGGGAGGTGGACCAGGAGCGTTCTGCCGGGAGTCTCAAAGGATTGGGGGTGCTGCGCGTGGCCATGCAAAGGGCGCCCTCCGGTTGATGGGGAGAGCGGTCATTCTACAGAGATCAGGCATGCCCCATCCCTCACATATTTAAAGTGGGCCTTATGCTGATTTCTTCTCCACAAAGTCATAAATAGTGGCTGCTTATAAGTTTTATTGTTGCTACTTTGTTGTGTTTGATTCTGCTGTCACTGTTGATAGTATATTTTAAGAACATTTTATGAGTTGGATTTGTATTTTATGCATGTAGTAAACCACTTTTGGGAGGACTTCCTCCTAAAAAAGCAGACTATAAATCTCTTAAAATAAGAATAATTAGTTCCTATAAGAGGGGAAGATAAATTGTTGTCCTGTCTTTGAGTAGCCTAAATTAGGGACCACTTAACACTTGGAGGTGTCAGGTGATCACCCTTGAAGAGGTTGAGTCAAGTGGCAAAAGACACTTTGGGTCCTTGGGCCAACATCTGAAGAATCAACTGTCACCCAAGATTGGCCATCGTTGGTTTAGTTGTAATTATGTTGTGACATTCTCTAGGGCCTTTTCGCATCTGAAGACAAGAAGAGTTCCCGGCTAAGAGAGATGTGACCGGTGCACAGGAAAACATGGCTAACGTGCAGGATGGCATTTGGATGGTGATACTGGTCACAGGTCTGGGGATGATATACTTCGGAACAGTGTCCACAGAGGATTCCCAGTGCCAGCGGGTGGAGCATCCTGTTGTTACAAGTGAAGGTAAGTGATTGAGAAGTCGATTTCCAAATAAAGAAGAAGAGAAGAAGAAGAGTTTGGATTTGATATCCCGCCTTTCACTCCCCTTCAGGAGTCTCAAAGCGGCTAACATTCTCCTTTCCCTTCCTCCCCCACAACAAACACTCTGTGAAGTGAGTGAGGTTGAGAGACTTCAGAGAAGTGTGACAAGCCCAGCAGCTGCAGGTGGAGGAACAGGGAAGCGAACCCAGTTCACCAGATTACGAGTCCACCGCTCTTAACCACTACACCACGTTGGCAAAGAATAGCAAAATTGGCACTGATTTGTTGTTCTTTGGCTAGTTTCCTTATAGACCTCTGTCTGTATTAAGAAAATCTGAGATTGCAACAGATTGGTTGGAAATCTCTGCTCATAATTGACCTGCATTTTAATTTTCACTCCTTTGAATCAGTGGGCTAGTTCATAAATGCTCACCAAGGGCAACGACTGCTGTGAGTCCACAAAATGTTTGGCGCACTATTTTCCCAAGAACAGTCATTATCTCTCAAGCCAGCATTGTTAAAAGGCTGCTATTGTTTTGTCCGGGGCAGTAGCCCCAGCTAGCAAATGGGCTTCTAGCCAAAGGGAGACCTATCCCAAGCACAGAGTCCAGGGACTCTAGATCACATACTGCTAGCATCCTTTCCAAACCCAAGAAGCAGAGCCATGTCAAGCATGGGTTAGGTTCCGGTGAGGCAAGGTCAAACCCAGCAGAGGGTAAGTTCAGATGAACAAGGTCAGGCAAAACTGACGTCCTCTTCGGGCTCCAGGGAGGATCTCCTCACGAACCACAAGAACTCTCCATTTCTCTCTCACCATTTCCGGGTTTGAATTAAATGGTTTCATTATTTCCTGGTGTATTGCGTGTGTGTGTGTGTGTGTGTGTGTGTGTGTGTGCCTGTGCCTATATCTGTATCTGTATGTCCTGTCCTATGAGATCTCGCCCACTGAATTGCTCAAACTGGATCTAAATGTGGCAAAAAGGTGTATAAATCAAAGGCTGGATGATGTGGAGCTATACCAAAATTTCGTAGCTGGTGGTGGAGTCTGCTCGCCATTAAATTTCGGCATAACCCCTATCTACCGCGCTCCGTCCTACTTAACATCGCTTACGGCCGCGTCTCACCGATATGCCTTCATTAGAGCTAGGTTTAATGTCTTTCCAACAAACGTGCTGAGACATAGATTCACTAAGGGCCAAGTCCCTTCAATGTGTGCGTGTGAAATGAAAACATCTGAATCTCTACATCATGTTATGTTTATCTGCCCTTTGTACAGTTCAGCGCGTGCTAGTATACTAAACTCCATAATCCAGCCTATGGCTGACAAATCAGTAGACCTACAGCTGGCCTGGGTTCTTCAAGATGTGGATCCTTATATCACCCTACAGGCTGCTAAATTCCTAACAGCCGTCCTCTCGTACAAGAGACGGAATGGAATGTTAGCTGATTATTGATAGTTATAAGAATTTTCTATAATTACATGAGATATTGATTTTAGTGTAGTGCCTAAATTTTTTATTTTTTTTTAAATCTTAATGTTAAACTTTTCTTATGAATGGCTAATATCTGTCCTTCTGAGTTGAGAACTGTGTTATACTACTTGTGGCTTGTACGAGTCCACTGTTTTATTTGATCTGATTTGTTTTTATTTGTTTTGTTGTGTTGTGTTGTGTTTCATGATGGGCGTAAAGCCGAATAAACATTTTTGAGTCTGTATCTGTATGTGATTCCAAGACCTCCATCTCCTGTGGAGCTATAGCCAATTTTGACTTTAGTATATATGTGAAGTTAGGACTCTTTGCTTCAGTAAGCATCACTTTTCATTCCCTTACGTTGAATCTTACCTGTCGTTCTGCAGCCCTCTTGCTCAGTTGGGTGGAAAGGGGGCACCTATGGAATGAGCAATGAAGGCAAAAGACCAAATGCCAGCAGGTTTTGACAGCCAAGCACCAGAGCTTTGCTGCACCAGGAAAGAAAGCTCTATCTGTTTGTCCTGAAGCTGCTTCTCCCCAAAGATATTGCAAGAAAAGTTATGCAAATATATATTCATAGGCCAAGCTACAGCCTGTTTTTACTCCACAAAGAAGGGGAGTCAACAGAGAGTGGAACTTTTGGAGTACTACATCTGAATATGTATTCATATTCATAATGCTATAAAAAGGAAACACTACTATTACATTTTCAAAATTACTGTGTTTAATTATGATAGTTCTATTTAAGTTTAGCAGTAGCCAAAAATCACTGACGTTCTGTTAGGCCAAGAAAATGGCACACACTCATAGCATTTCACACCTTTATGAACCTAACTGCATTTTCTTCCTGAGCCTCTTTGCTGGTGTGGTCAGGAAAGACCCAAGACCATTTGAAATTTAGGAGGAAGTGGAAGATGATAGACTTGTATGTGAGAAACTAGCAAGCTTTCATTTGAGATGTCAAAGGACTTTTTTAAAAAGGGATTGCATATTGGAACAGCACTTTTACTTTGTGACATCAGCAGCCATTACTCTGATCCTCACCCCCCCCCTCGTTTCACACCTATTTGCATGCCTAGCAACCAGCCCACTTCATGCTGGGGCAGACTGCCATACTTAACAGACTTAGAAGCCAAATGTTGAGGTTTAAGGCAGGGCTATGAAAGCAAGAAACAGCACAACTGCTTTCTGGAAATGCAACTAAGTGATAGTGCCAGAGGAACATGGGGAAGCAGACAGAGATATGATCCTAAGGGACAGAGAGTAGGATGAGGTAGGGGCTCAAAGAAGCAAAAATAGGGCAAAACCAAGGGAGAATAATGCTGGCATTCATCAGCCCACTCAGCTACTGCTCCTCATGACAACCATGTTGCTTTTTGCATTCCCACCATTTGCAGGGAGCTGAAAATGATTCCATAACCTCTTTTAAATCCTGATGAAAGGGAGCTAGAGAAAGAACATTGCATAAACTTAAAGGTGATGTTTACTTGTGGTTGTAAGCTGCTTTCAGGTGTGAGGCCTTATTCTTCATACTTGAGACTCCTTGTTCTTCTTTCTGGTTGATTCTGATCAGACGTATGACTGCTTAATGACCAGACTTAAAGATGTCTTTGTGGGTTTTGCTGCTAATCAGCCTCCTTTTTTCCACAGGGACTGCCATAATTGCCAGTGTTCTTTCAGGGTACCAGCAGTGAACATATTGGCAATTTGAGCAGCCACGAAAGTTAGCAATGGTGCTACAGACGGGAGAAGGGGCATACTAGAATGTATGAATGAGGGGAGTAACCAGCACAGATGCTGTTAAAAGTAAACAGTGATTACTCAGTGGGACGATAGGAAGTCAGCAGGGCGAACAAATAAATAATGCACCAATTTCTTCTTGCAGTATTTTTTTTTTTTTTGCGTAACTAGCATACACCCCAAGGAATTAAACCACAACAATCTGATGCAAGTAACTGCTAAACACAGATGAGTTCCCTTGCTTGCTGCAACTGTAATGACGATCTGCTGAAATAGATTCATTTACTTACTTGGCAATTATAGTTGCTGAAATCAGCTCTGTAAAATTCAGTGGAGGGCACAGGCCAGGCAAGGGTTAAGAAAGGGTTTGTGGAAGAACAATGGAGCCTCTGATTGTGCCACCTGAAATTCAGCACAAGAACAGTATTTTCTGAAGGGCAGGTTCTGGCTAGGAGCAAGGCTGCTTCTGCCTGCACCAGGACCTGTTTTGGGCTCTTCCTCCCTACAGCATCTTCCCATATCTTTCTTCCAAAGCTACTCTTAAGGACCAGAACAACCTCCGGTGCAGCTTCCAACACAGGATCAGGGGCTGTGGCCAGAATCCTAAAAGAATGATTTCCCATTTAGTCACCTCAAATTTATAATTTGAAGTTTTCATTCAGAGTTTGATATCATTCCATCATCTCCCTTTAAACCGGACAGGCTACAATCTTGTGCACACTTACCTTGAGGAAGCCTATTAGACTCCTCTTTGAGCTGTAAAGCAACTTGCATTATCCTAGTTTGCAGAAACAGAAGGCCTTTTGGGGGAAAGGATTCTCTCAGGCCTCCGATCCTTATGAAGTCCACAACAAATGGGCTGATTGCAGTCTGTCATAAATGAAGATTAATTGAATGAGCATCTCCGGCAACAGAAGGCAGAACAAATGTAGCAAAACTTTAAAAAGCCTCCTGGAATTGCCCTGGTGACATATGGAAAGGGAGAGTAGTTTGAAATGCGGTTGTGTGTGTCTTGTTTCATTGCCCATTTGAAACAGAGTTTTTGATTGAGCACATAGACTTAACGAAAATGATAAATTAGACTCTTCATGTTGTAGTTGCAGAACATTCTGTTATATTGGAAGGGGGCTGGCATATCCTCTGAGTGCCAAGCATTAGCTTTCCACTTCACTTCAGTTTCTTGGCGTTACAGAACATCTGCGCTCAATTTCCAGCTTTATTTTAAAAACAACCAAAAAACACAATAACAACAATAACAGATAAAGCAGGAGTGGAATATAAATGGATGCCACAAGAAAATTAGAGGGGGAAACAGCAGATTGAGAAGATTGCATCCACATACTCTTCAAGTACCACATGCCTCAAAGATTGCTTAGAAGTTTCAGCTGGGGCAGAGCATCACCAGCTCATCTCCTCCACGGTGTGTGTGTGTGTGTGTGTGTGTGTGTGTGTGTGTGTGTCTTAACTATTTTGTCAATGCACTGAATAAATGCACCCTGCAGAGCACAGTTCAAGGTTCTGCTCATGACTGCCTCACCCATTGTGATCTCTTGCAGCTTTGAGCATCTTTGGCAGAAACCTTGTTCTCATTTGCTTTTTCTTCATTTTTAATCTCTGTGTTTCCCTCATCTGCATTTTTTTCTTTCACTCTTTCCCCCCTCCTTCATCAATCCTTTCCTCTTTCTTGTATTCCTGCCCCCCCACATTAATTCTCATCTCCTTTCCCAGCCCTTCTTCCATGTAATTTTCTCCCCCTGACTATTTTATGCATAAAGTTTCCTTCCTTCCTTCCTTCCTTTTTTAAAAATATATTTGCTTTTAGTTTCACGAAAGACAGAAAAAAACAGCAGGCCCAGCAAAGAAACAAAAACAAAACAGAAAAAACTCAGGTGAATAACCTAGGAATGTAGCTGGGTGCAGGAAGGTAGCAATGATGTCTACCACATTCTTGACTCATCTCTTCTTTCTTCTTCTTCATCATCTTCATGTGTCTCATCTTCTTGCCTCCCTTATCACCCCCACCACTTACCTTCCATTGATGTCTCCTCCTCTTTCCTTTCTTAAAAGTAATGGTCAGCTCATTCCTTGTTCTCTTGAGGCATTCCAGGGACTGGCCACTGTGAGAAGCGAAGAATGGGCAGGATGTGCCCGGTCAGATCTAGCAGGGCTCTTCCTATGTTCTGAATCCTATTGATTTTTTGGTGTCAGTTGACCCTGCTGCTCTCCTCTTATATTTTAACCTTTTCTCTTTTTGTCTGTTTGGGTGCCTTTTAACTGTAAGCAATCTCCAATATTCCCTGTTTTCATTGATCCTTTCATTCTTGCTATCTTCCCCTCTCTTTCATCTAAATTTATTGAATGTCTTGACTGGTCACAGCCTTCAGCTGCAACTTCTGTTTCATCTCTACTAGTGTTGTTTTTATTCTTTACACCCCTCCAAAACCTGCTCACTGTAATTTTACGAACCATGTCCTCTTGCTAAATTACAGGGGGTTTTGTCTGTTCTTATTCTCTCCTCTGATTGTTACATGGTTGGCCTTTCCATTTAAAAAATGAAAACCCAGTTCCTTGCATTCTCATTGAATTGCCTAAAGGGGGTGTGAGAACCATGACTAAGGTTACCAGATTTTTCCCCAGTGAATCCGGGGACACTTTTCAACTTCAGTTGGAATACAAAACACATAATAAGAACGACAAAAGCAAACATTGCCTTGGGCAACTGAAGGAAAGCAGGAACACCAAGCTGTGTTAACTCTGGACTGTATTGCATTTACATGAACGCAAATGGCTTCTTCTTCGTTAACATTATAAAAATGTAATATTTCTCCTCTGTTGCATGGCCTTCCTGGGGGCCCCTGCCTGCTCTCTCGGGTCGGGTCTGGGCTTGGTCACGTGCCCTTGCCCTCCCGGTGCTCTCTCCTACCTCTCCTCCTCAGCAGCGGCGGTGGCGCGGCAAGAGCAGGGGTCCCCTCTTCTTTCTCCTTCCTCTTTCTCTCTCTTCCTCCTCCTCCTCCTCCTCCTCCTTTCCCCCTTCTCCCTGCGTCGGCTCCATGGTTTTCCTGGCCCCGGAGCGCCTCTGGACAGTTGGCCAGGCGCTCTCGCTCCCGGCTTGATTTGGGTCGTGGGGGGGGCGGCGGTTAGTGGCTCCCCCAGTTGATGCACCCGGCGTCCCCAGTTCCCGCTTGGCAGTGGCGGCAGCAGCGGTAGCACAGTTGACTCTGGCTGGCTTCTGGAGCTGCTCGCTGCCGTGGCGCCTGCCATTTTGCCTTGCCAGAAGTCCCCATATGATGTGTCTTGTGCCGTTGAACCAATCACGCAACATTCATTCCCTACTAATAAATCTGCAACACTTAAAATATAAATCCAGTGACATTAAATGAAATCCGGGGATGGATTTTGTCTGGGGACAGATTTGTAAATCTGGGAACTGTCCCGGGAAACGGGGATGTCTGATAACCTTAACCATGACACCATATTTTCACAATGCATGTGCACCTACATGAACCATAAATCCACCCTAAACCATACAGTTGACAACCATAGCTTGAAGTTGCTTTTCCAGGGGACCAGGTTCATGCAAAACCAGGAAACGTGTGAATCTTGAAACCACCTCCAGTTCTTCTGAGGAGAAATGGACAGAAAGAAGCACATGAGTCTGTGCCTGGACACCTCTCAGTCAGAGGACTGCCTTAGGCTAGCACTATGCTAAAGAAACAGCAGCTTACAAGGCTGTTGTAAGGATTCATGAAATAAGATAGGCAAAGTTCCTTGATAGCATTGAAAAATCTATGCAAATGCTAAATATTTTTAATGCTAATAATCTGATTTTATGTATTTATCAAATTTATGTTTGTATAGAGATTGCTCCTTGGTTACATGTATTCAGAGCAGAAAATGCTGTCGACTTCTCTCAGATAACATTTGATCCAAGACAAAAAGAACTTGTTGTTGGAGCAAGGTGAGACAATGCTTTTTAAAAATTCTCTCTTATCAGATGGTTAATTTTTCTTGTTTGAATGCATATTTGATTAAAATACACCATTTATATCCATGTAACATGCCAACAAGCTATGGACTTCAAAATTAGCTGTGATATTTGGTAACCACTTTTCTAAGAAAACGAGATTCTGCAATCCTTGCAGTGTTTAGGACTTGAAGCTCAGTGATGCAGCCAAGGGAATCATATTATACAATTCTGGTTAGACGGTCACGGTAAGGAAGGGAGTGGCTGAATTAGCATTTGATTTGTGGGTGTTTCTCCCTTTCATGCAAATTGTGAAGCTGACTCACAACACCTTAAAGCACTGTCTGTTACTGCTCTTTGTATTTCTGTCAAGAGTGGATTTTTTTAGCAGTAGAGTGCATCTTGACACTCTGCTATGAGCCTAGGCTTTTACTAGTTTCAAATCAGCCCAACGAACAAATCTTGCAAACAGTTAAGAGTCAGACATGCTTAAACTTGCCCAGCAATATCTTAATTTGGGATACAACTGTTATGGCCCTAAGCATGCAATATTTTTGCCCTTTTTATTATCATGCTTTTGATTCCAGCTATCTACAGATGTTGACTGTCCTGGGTTTCTGGGGTCAGACTGAGCTATAATAATACTGCTTTAAGGAAGTGGCTTAGATGATGACTGGTGGTTTGTTTTATTAGTTGCCCAAAAAATTTAAACAGCTAACCCCCAAAGTGTTGTTTTTGTTTTGATGAAGCAATGCAACTTAAATAAAACATGTCATGTCACCACCTGCAGTGTGCATGGATGAAAGTTCTTTCTTACGTTTGTTAAAATTCAGTTCTGATCAAATTGGTGAACATTGCTCCTTAGCCCAGTCCTGCCTTTCAATGCCAGTTCATTTGAGCTTCCTACCCATAGCTGTCAACATTTCCCTTTTTTAAAGGGAAATTCCCTTATTCCGAATAGGATTCCTCGCAAGAAAAGGGAAAAGTTGACAGCTATGCTCCTACCAGCCCCTCTAGAAGGAAGTAGGAAGAGAATGTGAGCAGGCTGCTGAAAAGCTCTCCTGGAACTCCTGGAATGTGCCATGAACCTGCTTGCTGATTTTTCCGCCTGCTCTGCCCTGATACTCCATGAATCCTACCCAGCTTGTACTCTCCTGGTTTGCCTTTGATACAGTTCTACCACCCATGCCCTGGCTGTAAAAACAACCAAAAGAGATCTGTGGTGGTGGTGGTGGTTTGGTTCTGCAGAGAAGCAAAATATGGTTTTTCAGATCTGGGCTGAAGCAGGTTGCTTTGGTTTTTGTTTCTAAATCCTTACGGCTTCAAACAATGGAACAGCTGCTCATCAAAAGGTGAAGGAATTTTTTAGGTTATTGCAATGTCTCTTTAAAATAATTTATGAATTCAAATTTGGTTTCATAGGTACTGAGATAGCAATAATTCCTCTCATTAATCATTGCCACAGTTTTTTCAAGATGATGGCCAAACCTGAATTTGAATTGTTTTCAAAGTCAGAAAAAAACTCCCTAACTCCTATTACAGATTTTATAAAGACCACCTTCTGATATTCATGTTAATTAATGAAACTAACAGATTATCTTGGGCTGTTACCCAGCAACCACCTAACAAAAGTAATGGTTAGCCAGCAGCCACAACAGTACATTTATTTTTATGAAGTTTCATTAAAGTTTGTAACCAAGAGCGAGTGAGAGTTGGAAATGGGAGATCCAAAGTGCCACTGGAATATGGATGCCTGTATAAGAAGGTCTTCGTGGCTGCAATTAGAGATGTCCTGTCTTTACACATCGCGGATCTGATGCTGTCAGAGGAAATGTGTGTGTGTGAGAGAGAGATAGGGGTTTTAATAATGGAGACCACAGTAGTGAGGGTGAAAATTTCAAAGAAGTTTTTGACAATGAGCTACTGTAGGAAAGGAAGGTCGTTTCTTCCTGGCTGGCTCTTCATTTTTTTCAAATAGAAAACAGCAGATGCTGTTACAGGAAGGCAATCTGAGAGAGGCTGTCCAACTGAAAAAAAACCTTCAGCCTTGCAATTCCTAAAACGGGGTTTCCATTCTGCATAAATTAGGGATAAGCAGCTGAAGGCCCATAGGCCAAACTGCCCTTCTCTGAGGGCTATTATCTGGCCAACTCAGAAGCAAGATATGTAGGGTTGAGCCGATAGTCACTGACAGTCCACTTTGGAGAGAGGAAGCTGCTCTAACAACTTTCATTCCATCTTTATCAAGCTTCTCCTGCAAATCTAGTTGCTGACTAGAGGAATATTTTATTTTTGTGCTTGCTGCAGGAAAGTCTACAGAAATATTCATGTAAAATGTATGAAAAGATGAGCTCCTGTAGATTAAGAAAGAAAAGAAGGAAGGTCCTTAAAGGACCTTTGCAGTATTCAACCAAATAATTGCACAGAGTGACTTCTGCTTGTGCAATGGGACTTCCCCTTCCCTTCCCCTTCTCCCCCTGCTCCCCCCACTGTCCCCAAAACTGCTCCTGAAGGGGAAGATGTAGGGGAGGAGAGTCACATTGTACAAGCCTAGGCCATTCCTACTTAGTGCTACTTGAATCCAACCCTGGGCTCTGGGACTTCCTCTCTGTCTATGCTCCACATGTCAAGAGTCTATAGAGTTAAATGTTTGATATATAACAGACACACAGATATTTGTATCTCCTCCTCCTAGTCACTCAAAATGCCAGTGGGAGTAAACTTTAGAGAAACTAAGAAAGAAAATGTAGATCTCATATCCTAAGTTGCTTAAGGTAAGATACCTATAGTAAAATTATCAAACTTTCTGCTTTCGACAAGCTTCAGTGTACACTTAGAAACGCCTAACAAGACAAACAAGTTTTGAAACGTTTTATTTCTCTGTCAGAGTATTTCTAAATTGACAACTCATTGAAAAATACCATGGCAGTGTACAATAAAATCATGAAACATCATAAAACTATAAAATAATGAAATGCAGAACAAGTGGCCAACACTTCTTCGCAGAATAGAAACGTATTCAGCAGGCAGTAGATTTCCAAAATTGCAGGGGCTTGTTTGATTTCAATAGGAAATCTTCCAAACTCCTGGTTCTGCTAAGCTAAACACAATGTGTGGTTAACAGATACATTATATAGGTATACTATATTGAAGAGCTAGGGGCGGCTGCAGCTATTTGTCAAGTGCACTGTCAGTGGCAAATCCAGGTTTACTGTGACAAAGGCTTTTAAGCTTCTAAATCAAGAATAGCCAAGAGCCATGGTCTCCTGGTTCACCTGCATAACTGATGCCATTTCTCCTTTCCCTCTTTTAGAAACTACCTCTTCAGGCTACATAGTGAGGATCTTTCTCTCATTCAGGTAAGCAGTTAACTTTTACCCCTCCCTCTTTTAAAAAAGAAGCAAAACAAATGGACATTTTGTTTTCAGTGAAGATGTGAAAAAGCTTCAGGATGTCAAATGGTGCAATTGACTTTTGTTTTGTTCCCCCCTTCTTTTGTCCCCTTTAAAGCATTTTTATTGAATTTTATCCGCACAGTTGGCTTCTCTTGTATATTTTATTTCTCACTATACAGTATTTTAAAATAAATCTCAGAACAGCTTTTTGGGACAAGTTGTGTAGGCTTATTTTAATACATCTTACTTCTAGCAATTAGCATTTCAGGGACTATGAGCATGTGGTTCTGCTGCCTTCTGTCCTTGATAGCTAGTTTTCTATGCAGAGGGTTTTCTCTCTCTCTCTGGTACGGAAGGGCATTTCATCAAGTGAATTCCCACCTGCAGCCTGAAGTGATCTATATACAAATGTATCTACCATGACTTGTACATGCGCAATATGGTTGCTACTGCTGATGGTTTGTATTTACATTTCTTATAGATAGATAAGGTTTAATTATGTCTTGGCTCCATATGTTATGCAGCCAGGTAAGGTGTGTGTGTGTGTGTGTGTGTGTGTGTGTGCAACTCTTTGACGAGCCCAGCGCACCTGTATTGCGTGCCTCCCCCCCCCCCATGTTAGGCGCAACTTAGCACCTCTGCCACACATTATTTGACAGAAAACCTGGGCTGGCAACCAAGTATGTCAGAGAGAACTATAGCCAATCCTGGCTCTTTGCTAATACGCCCTTGTGTTTAATACTTTCCCAAACATGTTCCTCTTAACCTAAAAAGGTCATGTGTGAATTATCTTCAAAATCTAACATATAAATTGGCTCTTAATTTGTGAAGCCACGACGTGGATGGCATTCAACTCTTTGCTTGTGGGGAACAGAAATTCCCCATAAGCTAAGCATAATCATGGAAACTAATTGTGCGTATGATCCCTACCTGAGTCTGCATTTTGTATTTTGTATTCCTATTGCACAGAGGGTTTCAGCTGTTACTGAATTGCCTTTATATTCCGTCTTGTAAAGATGCCTTTAAAAAACATACAAAACACCTGCTTGCCTTGGCAGCCAAAGGCCTTTATTGCAGCCAGAAAAGCCAATTAGAAGCCCCCCCGCTACAAGAGGAACTTGGTCTGTCTACCTACTCAGGGCTATTTTCACTGTGCTCTTGGGGCACAATGTGTCCAAATTAACCACCTACGATTTTTTTTAGAAAGGGGGAGAAGGAGGCATATGGTCATGCACTATAGCCATGCAGGTGTTTTACTCCCTGCATTAATGAGGTTAATGGTGAGTGAAGTTGAAATACTAGCATATATGGGGTATTCCTCACCCTTTGCCAGGCAAATATTTTTTTGTGTGTGGTTACCAGAGCTTCCCACAGATACTTGCCTAGGAGAGAGACAAGTGAAATTAATGGGTATTACTGGAGATTAGGCATGCACAGGACTGAGTTATAAATCTATGGGTAATATTCATGCATGTCCACATGTCTTTTAAATGTGTGCACAGGTAAGAACAAATGCAGCTTTGTGCTACTTCACCAAGGACTGAAGTTCAAAGATGTTGGAATTATAATTGTAATAAACAGAAATGTAGAAACTACAATTCATAGGATTTTTGGCCTGACAGTTATTTATCTGCTGTAATGCCAGGTTCCCTGCAAGACTGCTTGCATAGCACAACACATTATATATTTCACTAACCTTTCTCTACAGCCATCCATATAGATTCTTCAGCTATTGATATCATACACACTCTGGCTTTTATCAGCTTTTATTTTAAAGCATGTACCACTATCCTTTCAGTTCTGCCTCAGTTTGATTACAGAATTTGTCTGACAGAAGACCACAGTACATGTCACCAGTTCGACAGCATTATTCCAAAAATCCTGCCAAGCATTGCTAAAGGGTACGGCTGGAAATAAATGCCAAATTTGTTTGAGCGCATTTTGACACAGCTTGAAGAATTTTCTCATAATTGCTTCTCAATAGTGTTTTGAATAATGCTCATTGCATCTCTAAGATGCCCTCAGCTGCCATGTGTTGGTACCATAACTGTTTGAAAAAGTAACTTAAAATGCAGGCTGCTCAGAGGAGCTGGGAGGGATGCTGGCTTCTGAGGGGGCTGCTCCATGAAAATATGTGCAGTATTGTTTTTTGTGGTGTTTTTTTAAAGACAACCACCATGTGAATTATTATCAGGAATGAGAAAGAGGAAGGGCCATGGCTGGCTGGCAGAGCATATGCACTGCATACAAAAGTTCCAGTAATGGCAGAACTCGGAATGTCCTACAGAGTCAGGTCAGGGGTTCTCAACATGGTGCCCTCCAGCCCCAGCCAGCATGACTAATGATCGGGGATAATGGGAGTTGTAGTCCAAAATACCTGCAGGCTGCCATGTTGCCTATCCTGGTCTCAGTCACCTTGACTAAGTCTTAGACAGGAGAACTGCTACCTCAAGAGCATCCTGAAGTCATATAAAAGCTGGTTGGCTGGCCTGAGCCACCTGCATTAGCTCTACCCCTTCAGGAGAATGGTTTGTTCTTTTAAAGGGCCATCGCCCTATTCTGTAAAAGCTGCCTCCTGCAGGCTGGAGGAAGTGAGGGGTGTCCTGAGCTGACAACCCTCCAACATTTCTGTGACGAAAATAGGGACGTCCATAACAACAACAGCAACTTTACTATTTATATCCCACCCATCTGACTGGGTTGCCCTAGCCACTCACGGTGGCTTCCAACATATATAAAAACATAATAAAACATTAAACATTAAAAAACTTCCCTTCAGATGGCTCAGGGGTCAGATAACTCCATACCCTCCAACATTACTCCAATGAAAATAGGGATGTCCTAAGGAAAAGGGGGACATTCCGGGATGAAATCAGAAACCGGGACAGTTTCTGTAAATCCAGAACTGTCCCTGTAAACGAGGGACACTTGGAAGATCTGATGGAGTCTGACAATAGTGCATCCTCTGGCCTGGGCAGTCTGGGAGGAGGGGGAGGTGATGGCTCCTCAGGCAGTGGCTTCTCTCCCTCTGAGATTACCATGCAGCTAGAGAACGTCGCAGGTTCTCTGAATGTGGGCTGTGATATTTTCCTTTCTTCCTCATGAGCTGTTGCGACAGAGAAAGCAGCACTTCTTCCAGGTGCAACAAGTCTTAGGGAGAGTTTTTTGAACTGGTAAAAAGAACTTGCTCAGGCCACCCTATTTTGCAAAGTCTCACCAGTCTCAAGTGCATAACTCCTTTTGGGGGTCTGGCTAGATGTGACAGTCACCACTAGCTAAATGGGTTGCATCCACGGGTGACCGTCTGCTGACAGAAGACACTTTGATCCAGCAGAGGCTTTAGCAGAACCGGGAAGGAGGAGTTTTTCTCCAGTTTGTCCTCACTGCAGCCCCCATCTATTCCTGAATGGGGGACCCTTCAGAACAGCACATAAGATTCAGAGGGAAGGGGGACCTGCAGAGGAGAGAACCAATTGACAAAACTCACCTCAGTCTCCTTTCCACTGAGTAAAACCTCCACTGGATTGAAGAATCTTCTGTCCCCATGAGAGACACCACAGGAGGCAGCAGAATGGCTTTAAATGGAGGATGAGGCTGTTACTGCTGTTAACTACTACTGCTAAATTAAACCTCGGCTTGGCCATAACCCTTGTGCTCTGCTTGTAAGTTTCCAGAGCTGTCTTGTCTTGCAGTTGTTGGAGAAATGACTGGAGTTGATCTAGCAAGGCAGTTCTCATGTTCACGTGTGTTCCTTCCAGGGCCGTCTTAAGCATATCCGGCGCCATGGTGCAAAGCTCCCTCCAGCGCCCGCTCCCCCCTCCCCGTTTAGGGAGAATGGCGCTTCCGGTGGGGCTGGAGGTGGCAGGCAGCGGCTGGAGGGCGGCACCAGGGCGCCAAGTTCTGGAGGGCGCCAGGGAAGAGGCTGGACACGGTGCCTCCTGGCCGCTTGGTGCTGCGGTGGCCATGGCAGAAGGAGGCGCTGGGCACGGCACTGCTTTGGCGGTGAGCTGATGCTGGGAGGCGCTGCGTCCAGCCTCCGCCTCTTCCCTGGCGCCCTCCAGAACTTGGCGCCCTGGTGGCCCGTGCCACTAGCCTCTATGGGTAAAACGCCCCTGGTTCCTTCAGTAAGCAATAAACTCTGTTCCCTGACTATGATTCAGTAGCTACAACAACTAACACATCTTGGAATGATGCACAGTGATGCTATTCCATTGTCGCATGGGTACGGTCAATCTGTTTCTGTCAGAGGTTGGCAGAGGCTCTCTGCCAAGGACCTTCTGCCCCTGATGCTTCTCCTCCTTTGGCTGTCATTGCCCATGTGCTCACCAAACCCAGGCCTGGAGGGGGAGCAAGTGAGTAGCAACGGCAGCGAAGGAGAAGCTGCTTCCCCACTGCCTCTCTCTCCCTGATCAGCTAACTCCTGGGTGGAGGATGACGGTTTTTGCCAGAGCCCCCCCTTCACCAGCCCTGCAAACCTGAAGCCTGCACTGATTACTGTCATTTTGTTCTGTCAAATTATATTCTTGGTTGCATTGCACCTTTGAAAAACATGGTGTTTGAATACATGGCATAAGATGTGAAGGCAAACAGATAACAAGAGTAAGAACGCAACTAAATGGAATTATGAAATTGTGTAGCTGTTTTCTGAGGCGGTGTAATCAAACCACCTTTGGAAATATTATATTTTGCCAGTGTCTAATTACCAGAGCCATCTGCCTAAGGCATGCTCTGCCAACTGTCTGGAATTTTGTTTTGTTCTTTTCTGTTTGTTTTCTGTTTTTAGTTTATAGAAGTTCATAGAATCACAGAATTGTGGAGTTGGAAGGGGCTCAAAAGAGATGTGTTTCTCTTGGTATGAAGTGGTTGCGATGGTAGATGTTGTTGCTGTATCTGTCTGGTGTGCGTCATAATGGGTGTAACAGTGCAATACTTCATCCATGCACAAACTCCTCCTTGTTCTTCCT